CTGCCAATTTGTGAAATCTGAGTCTGATAATACATTCATTAGCCACCTCACCACCGTGTTTGCGAGCTGGTTCCTATTCTAGACTTGCTCCTAACACCTCTCTCCCTCCCTCCTTTCCTGATCTCTTCCCCTTCCATCTCACAGGGACAGTTGACTCTCTCTAGTCTAGAGCTTCTGAGTTGCCTTTTGAAGCCCGTGGCCTGCGGGTCCGACACACTGTCCCCCTCGCCTCTGTCTACCCTTCTTCCCGCCACAAGTGACCGTTCCACACGGGCTTTGTTTCTGGACAGTTGCAGGGTTCTCGTCCCACAGAGGCTGGTGATGGTGGTACAGCTGCAGCTCCAGGGACCCAGCACTTCAGAGCCCTTGCGGGACCTTGCCCCGGCCTGTCCCGGCCTCCCTGCCAAGGCCCCGGGGCTTGGCTGTCAGAGACGCCTTTGTGCTCAGTCACTGATCTCAGGCGCTGCGGTTTCTGAGCAAAGGACACCCAGCTTCACCTCAGGGACAGAGGGCAGGCTCCGAGGTTGAAAGGCCCTGGTTCTGTCCGGATCTGGCCACTTACTGTGTTCCTTTGAGTTAATCACTTCCCTCTCTAAGGCTCCTGGCCTGCAGAATGGGAGGATAACACCCAGATTCCTGGATGGTTTTGAAAAACGACAGAGGATGTGTGTGTGTGTGTGAAAGACACGGACGTGGACAGTAACTGTGCCTTCTCTGTCTTTTCTGGGAGCAGGGGAGGGAAGTGCAGTGGAATTTCCTCCCAGAAAGTAGGGGTGCCCAGCCAGGAGGTTAGATGGTTGGGGCAGGTGTGTTTCCTGTTTCCTGTGAGTGAGAGAGGAGCGGCGGCCTGCCCATGGCCTCCCCCTCTCTCCTCTCCCTGAATTTATCTGTTGGCCTTGATTTAGTGGTGGCGGTTTGTCAGGGCGGCTGTCTGTCTGCCTGGTTCTGCTGTCTGCGAGGCTGTGGCATCTGAATCCTCAGCCAAGGATCTGCTCTGGGATGCCCTGTGCCAAGACAAGAAGGAAGGCACCCACACTCCCTAGTTCCTAAACTGGGGAGGCCCGAGGGTGTTCCCCTGGCACCGTCACCCAGAAGGGCCTGACTCGTCACACAGGCTCAGCCCGAAGAGCCCCAGGGCAGTCTGGGAGGACTCCCCACAACTTGAGCTTTCCAGGGAGGGTGATGGGCCTGGAGGGACAGGCTGTTCTCTGTCTGGAGGAGAGGGAAAGCGAGGCTTGATTCCTGTGAAATCTACCACTTTGGGGCCCTGAAAATGAGGGTGGGTGTTCCCCAGGGAGTGCAAAAGTAGGAGATGGGGCCTTGGTAAGCCGGCGCCTTCATCGTGACCTCTCTTGACACAGAGCCGGGTCTGCTGGGCAGCGGTCTCAGGAGGCCAGGCCACTGCAGGGGGAGGAGGACACAGCTGGGAACTAGAACCTGGATGTCCTTGTCCTTGCTCTGGCTGTCTCTTTCCTCACCCACTAGGTGACCTTGGGCAAATCATTTGACCTTGCTGGGCCTCCATCTCTGCATCTGGAAAGTGGGGATACTTTTTGCCTTCTCGCTTACCAGACTGCTCTGAGATGCTAGTGCAAGACTATGAGACAGCACTTTGGAAAAGATGAGTAATGGTTGCAGATAAAAGGGATTTCTATTAAGAGGGACTAACATTATTGAAAGAGAGGTGCTTCACATGTGATTTCTGTTGACTAATTCAATCCTTGCAAGAGAAGTGGTATTTTCCCGGAGGCTTAGGGAAAGCACAAGGTCACAGCACTCATAAGAGGCCAGCTGGGCTCCACGCAGGCCTGAAGTCAAGGCTCTGTCCTTCTGCTACAAATGCAGTTACCGTTGGGGGCTGCCCCCTGGGGCCTCCTCTTCCCTCTAAAACTTCCAGAAACAAAATATATCAGCCTGGCCCCAAGAAGCTCACCTGTTTGTCTGGAGACGGACAAGTGCAAGGTTGCCAGCTGCTCTGACGTGTGTAGTGGGGGAGAGGCAGGGGACGCTGCTTGGGGACACGGGGCAGGTGTCCCCGGGAAGCCTCCAGGGACCTGTTGTCCTCTTAACGGCCACTTTCTGGCCCAAGAGTCTGTGTCCTCAATGACAAACTGAGACCTTGATGGATTCCCAGCCAGACACCCCCACCCCTCCATGTCGCCGCCCCCGAGGATGCTGCCTCACCTTGGCGGCCAGATCCACCTTCCTGTTCTCAGCTGTACAAGGCAGAGCCTGTTGTGGGGCAAGCTTCCCCTGGGGGCGGAGGGAGCCGGCAGAGAACCAACAAGCCCGGGGTGGGTCCTGGCACTGTCCCTCGCTCCCCCGCCCGCAGGCTGAGTCACGGGGGGATCCCTGCTCATCCCCCTCCAGCACCTCACCACCCCAGGGCCATGAACAGCCAGCTTAGCTGCCTTCCCGAGAGTTCTCTCTCCCCTTCTCTGAATCTGTGGAGTCTGTGGACTTGCCCAGGGTCCCAGAATCAGAGGCCTGGAAAAGGGTGTTTCTAATTATTAGTCTCTCTGGCCCGAGTTTCCCATCTTCTGGAAACTCCTCCTGGCGTCGCTGGGCGAGTGGTCATCACTCTGTTGGGCCCTCGCAGGACTGGCTGGGCACGTGGGAGGCTCCGCATGAATGTCCCTTTTGTTCTTTTTAGCAGTGAGTCAGCGGATGGCTGGGGTGGGGGTGGGCACCTTTAGGCGGATCTTTGAGGACAGACTGTGAGTGTCCTTAACTCCCCCTCCCAGAAGGGTTCCCGGATGCCTGGAGAGTCCCCGCGTTCGCTAGTTCACTCAACGTGTTTTTTTTTCTGAGGACCTAGTATGTGCCAGGTTTCAGAAATATACAGATGAATTAAAAGTGGACCCTACTCTTCATTCTAATGGGGGAGATAAAAAGAAAATAAATGGCAGCACAGTGAGGCGGGTTAATAGCTGTTACTTATTGAGCAATTATACTAAATGCCCGATATGTGCCAGCCCTGAAGAATAGGTATCATTAAATTTTCACAAAAATCCAGCAACTTTCCATTTTACGGATGAGGAAAGTGAGGGTCAGAGAGGATAAGGCCATTCTCGGAACCAAGTGGGAACCGAGTTGAATCTGATTCACACCAACCTCCAGGGGAGCACAGGCCCCCAGGAATGCACAGCCGGAGCAGCCAGTTTGGACGGACAGAGCAGGCAGGGGCGGGAGTGTGCGAGAATGGAGGCCTGGGAACACATGGATTCACACTATTCCCCTCACTCCAGCACCTTCGTTTTTGTTTTCTTTTTTGTTACATCTCACCTAAGGATATTTTTTCCAAGGGAGGAAAGAGGGGAGGGGGGAAAGAGAGAGGGAGAGAGATACACATCGATTAGTTGCCTCCCACATGCGCCCCAACCGGGATCAGGGATCGAATCTGCAACCCAGGTACGTGTCCTTGACCGGGAATCGAACCCGAGGCCCCTTAGTGCTCGGGCCAACAGCCTGACCACGTAGCCACACCAGCCAGGGCTCCGACACCTTCTTGGCCACCTTCCCCAACTGAGTTTCTCCCTGTGCCCTCCACCTGCCTCTGGGGAGCCCTCCCAGGTGGCGTCACCTGACGGTGACCACAGAGTTATCCTGGCTGCTGCCCAGAACCTCCCAGGAAAAGTGCCAGCTGCAGTCGCCTCGCTCGGATGGATCAATCAGGAAGCTCCCCGCGGGCCCTCCCTGAGTCCCGCCTGGCTCTGCCCGTGCGTTGTACAGCGCTCAGAGCTCCGGGCCAGAGCCAGCCCAGCAGCTGAGCCTAAGGACGGTTTGTGTATCTTCATTGGATTTTTTTTTTAGCAGCTGATTTATCTTCCTAATTATGTTTAGCTTTAAGCTAATGTTAAAATGAGCTTGCATTAGATAATTTTTACTAATTAACACCAACTTAGTGCAGGGGAAGTCGTCCCAGAAGCAAGCCGTAGGGGAAGGGAAAAGCTGGCCTAGGATCTTAAGAAGAATTGCCACGCTCACTCCCCGGCGAACCACATATGGTTCTTCACGGCTGAATTAGTTGCCCTGCTCACGTGGGTACAGTCTGTTCTCTCTCTCTCTGCAGAGCCAGCCTGTATGCCTCCTTCAGCAACCAGGTTTAGGGTTCGGGTGGGAAGAGCGACGGCCTCCTAGGGTCAGATCAGCAGGGAATGAGCGTCAGTGGTGCCCAGCAGGGAGGCGTGACCCGCGCGCAGGGCTGGGAACAGAGCCCTGCACGGAGGCCACACGCCAAGGTCTGGGAGAGGAAGTGGCCTGGCTGGGCAGAATGGGGCTCCAGCGGCTGGCAGTGCAGCAAGGGAGCCTGGTGTTTAATGATGTCTCATTAGTGAGCCTGAAACTGTGTGACATGGCGACAGACAGCTGGGAAGCCGCAGCTGACAAAGCACAGATGCCCCGCTGGTGGGATGGGGGCAGCCCGGCCTCCAAACAGAAGAGCACCCGTTGGTCTTGGCCCTGCCCTCTGGATGGGCCAGGGCCCTGGTCCATGCCGCTTCCTCAGCTCCCCAAGGAGGACCCTTCTGCAGAGGGAGTCTGTGTGGAGCAGTTACTGCCAGTCAGGCAGGTGCAGTCAGGAAGGACGTGCACCCCTCCGCCAAGTGCTCAGACCCAGGCCTGAGCAGACCAGCATCCTGGGGAGGGCACACACTGGGGGGGCCAGGGACAGAGCAGGGTCCTGGGACAGCCTCAGGGAAGAGTGGAACAGGGGAAGGGCATTCCTGTTGCCACAGGGATAGGGTGGTGACGGCAAGAGTTGGGTCGTGAGGGCAGAGCCTGCTGGGCGCGTTTGGAGAACTTAGAGCAGCGGTTCTCAACCTGTGGGTCGCGACCCCTTTGGCGATCGAACGACCCTTTCACGGGGGTCGCCTAAGACCATCCTGCATATCAGATATTGACATTACGATTCATCACAGTAGCAACATTACAGTTATGAAGTAGCAACGAAAATAATTTTATGGTTGGGTCACAACTTGAGGAACTGTATTTAAAGGGCCAGAAGGTTGAGAACCACTGACTTAGAGTGTTGATTGTCAGGGGGAGGGGAGTGGGTTGGACATACACGGAGGGTCTCCAGCCACGCTGAGGGCTTGATTCTGTGGGCAGTTGGGGGCCAGAGTGTTTGAGCAAGGGAACAACTGGTTAAGGGCTGTGTTGTTGGATCCACCTGCCCGGAGGAAGCATGATCAGGACTGTGAAACTAGTACCTCCATCAAGCTGACCCTGCGCACCTACTGTGTGCCGGGCACTGCAGGGAAGAAGGGCAGAGCCCGGCCAAGGGGCAGGCATCAGACCAGATTCTGACTAGGCGTCACAGCGTTTCTTTGCATCCTCAACAGAACCAGGAGGCAGCCTCACTATTCAGGTGGAATCCAGAGAGATTCAATAGCGCCCACAATCCTACCACCAGGATGGGACTTTGGACTCCAAAGTCGCTGTCCCCACTGCCGTATGCCTTTGGACTGTGGAGATTTGCCCCCTCCTGGTGCAGACATTGGTGATGCTTCAAATAGGGCCTGCTGCAGCCTGATGACCAAAGAAAGTCTCTGGGTGTACCCCGGGCCCGACCCCCACCCCCAGGAGATGACTTGTTCCATCCCCCAGCCCTGCTCTGTGCTAGGGTCCTGGAGCCACCCCAGGCCATCTCTACTCTGCTGTGGGTTTCTTAGCAGGAGCTCCGGCTGCTCAGGGTGCGGGAATAGCCGCCCAGCCTTGCTCCACCATCAGCTCACCATACAGACTCTTCTTCCCTTAATTGGGCAGCCCTTCCCCTCAATTAGCGCAAGTTTGACCTTTCTGGGAGTGTAGTGTTACCCAGGCTTTAATCAGCACTCCAGGCTGGGCCTGCTGAACGCGGTATTGAGCCAAAGGAAAACATCTCCACCTTGATGTCTGCATGGGGCGGAGCTCGGAGCTCTGAGCTCTGCCCGTGGTTCCCCCCTCACACCGCCCCCCCAGCTCTGCGCCCCCACATTGGCTGCTTCCTTCCCCCCGCCCCTCGCCCCTCCTCTGAAGGGACAGCCTTTGTTCTGGTTCCCTCTCTGAGGAGAGAGGAGGCCTTGGCATTTGCCCGCTGCTCCTCACGGGCCCTGCACTGTGCTCCTTGCGCCTCCCGCACCGTCTCACTCAGAACTCTGTGAAGGTGTCACCGCCCCGTTTTAAAATGAAGAAACTGAGGCTTAGATTAAGTGACTCGCTCCGGGCCACACCAGCAGGAAGATTTCCTGCTGCCAGAGGGTATATTCTCTCCCAAACACCAGTGGTTCAGTAACGTGTTCCCAGCCAGACAGTGAGACCTCGATTTTTGTCTTCTTGAAGGAAAAAAAATTCAATCAAGAGATCAAGTGCAGCAAAGCCAGCAAGAATGTATTGGCTGCAGCAAAAGCGAAACAAGGAAGGGCTCAGCACAGGAGAAGCAGCAGGAGGGCCCAGGCTGGGCCGCTCACTGGGAAGTCAGAGAAAAGGGGCTTTGGAGACCGACCTAGGGGGTTAGCCCGGTACAAGCTGCTGCTGCCCATTGCTCCCCTGGTTGCAAGTTTTGTGGGGTCCCTCTGAGCCTGGGAGACGCACACCTGTGGGGGAAGAAGAGGGGGCAGGGGAAGGTGCTCCCCAGAGGGCCTTTTTTTTTTCCCTCAGGGTTTCTCTCTCTCTCTCTTGCAGGTGGGAATCTTAGGGGAGCTCTCAGAGGAGGGGCTCTATAGAATATGCATCAGCTCTCCAGGTGTGCTCCTTCAGGGTCCTGGTCTGCACCGATTGGTTGGCACCTGGTTAAAACCCTCTGTACTTAAGCCCAACCCCACCGCCATGCCTACCCCGAACTGTTCCAGGCCAACTGTTGGTTCCGGACCTCAAATACAGCGCTGATCGTGAGCCGCAGTTCAGCCATTAGTCAGTGCAGCTGGTCCTGAGGCAGCCACGGGGTTGCTGGCCTGGTTTTGCTGCTTTCCTGGGCCTGGAGCTGAAATACAACTGAAGCCTGGATGTTATCTTTGGGGAGGAAAGGTCTGGGCGTCTAACTGCATGACCAGTGATATGAAAGGTCAGGGGGTCGAAGCCACATGACCAGTGATATGCTAGGGGAGGAAAGGTTGCCCCGGGGGCGAGGTTTTGGTTTTCCTAGTGTTGCTCGTTGCTAGGCACTCAGGGCTTTCCGCCCTGCTGACCTTCTTATCTGGCCCATCGTCCTTGCTCTGCTCACGTCGGTCTAACTGCCTTGCACAAAGTCTGGTCCATCCACCACCTGCATTCAGAGCCCCCGAGGGGATGGTGCTATCAACGTGCACTTTCACGGGCCTGCAGAATCCGAACCCCCGAGCAGGAGGCCCGGTCCGCACACTCAGCAGGCACACCCCCGCCAGGCCCAGGGGAGTCTTTCCACGCTGACCTCTAAGTATATCTGTAGCCCCTGATCCCTCTTTGGGGAGCTCAGAGAAGGATATTCCACAGTTGGAGAGGCTGCCCGGCCGGCCCAGCACTGCCCTCCATGGGAACAGGAAGGACTGCTCTCTGGTCCCAATCAAACTGACTCCCCTGGGCTGCCAGGCAGATGGCTGTTCTGGGAGGCAGAAGCGGGACCAGCTTGCCCAGGTGCTGCCCTCCCGACCCCGAGGGACCGCAGGGTTGAAGGTGTGGAGTTAGCACCCTTCACCTGTAGCAAGTGAGTTTAATGGGCCCTCATAACTGCAGAGCTTTTTCCTGGGGCGTCCGGACATGCTCTCATCTGAACCTCCCAGCAGGCATGGGAAGTAAGCAGGGTGAGCATGGGGGGGGAGGGGTGTCAAAGTCGGGCCCCAGGCTCACATGACTCATCAGAGGGAAGGCAGGGACATGCCTCGTAGGCTCCCTTTCTTTCCTCCCTAGGAAGAAGCGACCATGCCAGCACACCCCTGCGATGAGCAGGCTTGACCCATGACCTCTTGCTTTTTCCCACCACAGATCTGAGTGAGAAAGGGCTGGGTCTTTGCCGGAACAGCTACCACACCCACCCCAGTACCTGCAGCTCTGCATCTGCAGAACTGGGCAAACCAGTGAGGGAGAGGGTGGTAGAGTCCAGTTCTACCAGTGCATCTTGGTTTTGTCTGACCAGAGGTGGCCTGGGGTCCTAGCCAGAGTAGGCCTGTCCCCAGAGCCTGCCGTGACCACATCGTCTGGGGGTGATAGCTCAGGACTAGTGCCAGACCCCTAGCTTTAGTCCTACCTCTGCCAAGACCCAGATGGACAAGTTAACCTCCAGGCTAGGCTCTAGCTAAGTTTCCTCCTAGCTCGGAGGAAATGTCCTTCTGGAATGTTCTTGAGTGCAGGGGCCAAGTGCAGAGGGGCAGCCTGTGCCCTTCAGGCGGGCACAGCCAGGGGACTGTGTGGGGCTGCCATGCAGCCCATGCTCCACAGACCGGCTTGCACCCATCACAGAGGGGACAGCATCCTTTGGTAATCCGCACAAAGGTGCTTGCTCCATGTGCTAGTGGCAACCCTGCCCCCTGGCCTCATGTCCTCAGTGTGGACTTCTACCCCTTGGTTAAGTACTGTCCTCACTCATGGGCTGGCTGCTCCTTCGACACCTTCGGTGGATGGGGCAGAGCAGAGAGACCAGGTCTCAGAGCTGTTGGCTCAGGCAGCAGGCCCTTCTCTGCACCCTTGAGGCAGACCTGAACTCTGCCATCCAGCAAGACAATCCAACCGGGAATTTTGCTCAGCGTTCTTTTTTCTCTCCACCCCAGTGCCCTGTCATTATTGAAATAAAAGAGATAACTACAAAGCTACACCCATCCCCCCCAAATAAAACAATAAACATGAAACAACCTTCATTTCGACATTCATTCCACAAACACGGAGAACTGACTTGGTGTTGAGATGTCCCCTGAGGGTAGAGATTCTGAGAGAAATCATGATCCCTGCCATCCAGAGCCCCAGCCAGAAAGGGACAGAGCCATTCGGCAGATTGACGATAAAATGTCAAGGAACTCTGTTATTTGCCTGCCGTACAGTGTGGGCAGGATGCAGGGAGTCGTGAACACTGTTGGGTGGGGAGAAGTTCAGGAAGTTCTTGGCTGAGTCTTGAGATGCATGGATGTTTCACAGGGGTGTGGAAGGGGTAGGAACAAGGCCCTGAACTGCTTGATATGTGTAGTGATTCTCAAGAGATGCTGGAGGGGGTGAGATGCTGTGATTTTGCCCCCAGAAAACCTTTCTTCATGTCTACAGACCCTTTTTTTTTTTTGGTTGTCACCACCCAGGATGCTACTGGCATGCTCCTAAACAAACATCCTGCAATGCACAGAACAGCCCCAACAGGAGGCCCCAAGAGGTCAATATTGCCAAGAAATCATGTGTTAGGGTAACTGTAGGTCATTCTGCACTGCTGAAGACAAGGGCAGAGGTGAATGGCACAATGAAGCCGGGGGGAGGCGGGGAGAGGGGGTGGAGGGGGACTTTCAAATGCCAAGTTAAGGGTTTGGACCGCTCTTGATTTGAGAGGATCACTGCTGTGAAGAATGACTTGGAGCGTAGAGATGGAGTATGAAAGGGATACTAGTGAGGAAGCTATTCCAGAGGTTCAGTAGGAAATGAGGGGCCTGAGCTAGGGCAGCAGTCCAGGGGGAACAGAAAGGAGTTGACCCAGAGAAGCTGCTGGAGCAGGTGGGACCTGCTAGACTCAATGAGGGGTTGGATTTGGACTCTGGGGAGAAAGAAGAGGCCAGTGGATGTGGGTAACGGACAGGATGTTGATTTTGGAGATGCGGGGGCGGGAGGCGGTGGAGGCTGGTGAACAGGCTCTGAGGTCTAGTCTGGGTCATCTAATAAATACACCAGCGGTGCCCGGCGCTAGCTGTCTTGAGCCAAGGAGAGCATGGGGGAAGGTGGAGTCCTTTTCCTTATTATCTGATGGTAATTAAGGAGTGGAGAAAGAGAGCCTGAAAAGCTGGCAGTTTAATTAATGGTGAATGACAGGTAGAGGGGAATTCTGAGGCTCCCTGGGCCCCCCTCCCCCTCCCCTCCTCACTG